CATAGGTCATCGGAGCTGGTTGTAGGTACCATACCAGCAATCTGCTTCACCTCCTTCCACCATCTCTTCGGTTTGGTCGATTTAAGATTCTTTACTTTTGAAGAGTAGAATTTCGCCCGGCATGTCTTTCGCTCGCGGTTAACCCGATTCCGGTAATACTTGAACTGAAAGGTATTTCCACTGCAGAAGGCAGCTTGACGCTTTCTTATAAGCTCTTTAAATTCTGCAGTAATCCATGGAGGATCGTGTACATGCAAAGCCGTTTTCTTTATTGGCATAATGGTGCTAATACCGAGACGTACTAACTCTTCGAAATACTGGAGTTTCATTTCGCATGTGTCAAAATGATTCAGAGAGGACCAATCGATAGATGTAAGGTATCTTCCAAGCTCATGCCTTTTACTAGATCGTAAATCTCTACTAGAGATAATTCTTCTACTGCATGACTTGGGTTCTCTTTTGCAAAGATTGACAATCACAACATTATAATCTGAAAGACCAAATGGCGGAAATTTTTGGACAGAGTTCTTATCATAAAACGAATGTAAGTTGGTTATTATTAGATCCAAAGTCTGGTTGGCCCTTGTGGAAACGTTAACAATCTGTTTGCAACTGAACTGTGTTAATATCCGATTGCATTTTAACCGATTAAAGTCGCCTGCAAGAATAAACCCACAGCCAGGATAGGTGCTTTCAATAGTAATCAGTAATGTGGAGAGAAATTGGAGCATTTCATCATCATTAGCATTAGGTGGATGGTAAACGACACCAAGTATCAAGCAGGAAAACCCGCGGGGAAGTCTACTTGGACGAAAATAGACCCACAGAACTTCGTAATCTGTATGGTGGAGATGATTCAGAGGCTTATAAAATATCGTGTTCCTGATGTGTTTTATTATTATTTTCATACTGAACTATTTGTCTCACAGAAAAATGTTGCGATGTGCGAACACAAATTGACAGGTATTTGACAAAAAAAAAATGTCGCTTCAATACTTTGACCTTTGTTTTGATCTCTGTTAGTTGAAATAATATAATACTGGTAAAAGATGCATGGCAAACATGAAATATTTAAACTTCGGTCTGTTCGGATGTAAATAGTCAAATTGCCACGAGATAATGTTGAGGAGTTGGATTAGCTCACAGTCGGACCTGGAATGGAAATACCGTAATAAAGATGCAAATTTGAAAATGACACTCTAAATAGTGTTTTGTGATAGCGATTAGAACAAGACTATTACAAAGAAGATACGTCCGAAGGGGCTGAAGTTATGCTCCGGGAAAGGTATGGCTAGGCAACAAAAAATAAATATGCGGGTTTCCGGTTTCCCGACCCTACCTAGCTTTTGGACGTCGAAATCCCGACCCTAAACTTTTTTTATTGGATCATGCTTGTAAGTGTTTCCACTTAGAGGAAAAAGTTTGTGGAAAATTGAAATTTGAGGAAATATTAGGGACATTTATCTTTGGATGTGGAAGCACTGACTAAACAAAATGGCGTCCGCTTATTCGGAAAATTAAAAAAAAAATTTAAAAAAAAAAGTTAAAACCGACCTACCCTACCTAAGTTTTTATAAGAAGAAACCGGAAACCCACATATTTTTTTTTTGGCCCTAGTCTATATTATTACAATCTCGCTTACTAATAATAAAATCTTTATTTAAACTGCATAATTGTGTCAGCTGACAATATGATGACCGCTGGTATTAATACAAGTGCAAATGTGCAATAAATCGCTACAATGTTGGCAAAGACAAACTATCATGAGAAATTAGTTGATATTGTTTCACTGAATCGAATGAAAGCGCGCAGCCACCAATGGTGCCCATACTATTTCCTATTGAGTGAGTGAAAATTACCTTTTGACATTTTGTTCTTTTTCTCAAAAAATTTCTATACAAGCATATCCAATTTTTATTTTTGGATAATCGCTGGGTTTTTCTGATATGTGGCTGAGATTTCTTACTAATCGAAGGACAGGAAGTAATAAAAAACGGCGGCTTTTGTTGCACACCTTGACCGATGTTTGAGCGATGATTCTTGTTATTTTGTTTGTTTAACCGATCTTTGGAAGAATATTTGTCCATTAAGGTTACAGAACACCTTTGAGTGTTAATTTTGCCTAAAATTGTTTTATTGGTTTCAATGAAAGCATTAGACTAGTTCTGCTATCTGACCAAGCTTGAACGAAAAATGTTGAAAACTCGCACAGTTATTTAATAAAATACATTTCGCTGCAATAAGAAAAACATTGAAAATGTAATATTCAAATTCAATTTTCTCACAAAAAATTTTACGGTAATTACTGATTTTCAAACGAGTTGTGCTCCTGCGGGTTTTAACCAATGTTTCTCAAATTTTCACAGGACATAGCTAAATACGTCAGTTTCAAAATTGTGTTCGGCTTTTTTAAAATTTTGGATATTTTAAAAATAAAGAGCAATTCACTCAAACAATTCAGAAATATATTGCAGTCGTCAAAGAAATCGCCGTATCAGCGGAACGACGAAATAAACAAAAATTTACGAACACAATTTTTTAGAACAGCTATTTTACTGTATAAAAATTTCATAAATATAACTTAAAACCAGCAGGAGCACAACTCAAAAGCGTAAAGGTACCGCGATTTAAGATTTTCCTGAATAATTCTTACATTATTTTATTGTTTGTTAATTTTTTACAACTTTACCATATTTTGCATGCCCTGGAGAACATTTGGTGAAAATTTGATGAAAATCGGACTGATATTGAGCGCGCAGTAGCGATTTTCCGCAAAACGCCAAAAAGGGTGTCCTGTAACCTTAAGTGTGTGAGTCCTTTGGTGTCCGCCATTATTACTGTTTATATTTGTATATTTGTACAAGAATCATCGCTCAAACGTCGGTCAAGGTGTGCAACAAAAGCCACCGTTTTTTATTACTTCCTGTCCTTCGATTAGCAAGAAATCTCAGCCACATATCAGGAAAAAAACCAGCGATTTTCCAAATATAAAAATTGGATATGCTTGTATAGAAATTTTTTGAGAAAAAGGACAAAATGTCAAAAGGTAATTTTCACTCACTCAATAGGAAATAGTATGGGCGCCATTGGTGGCCGCGCGCTCGCCCCAATGTTTTGCACCCCCTGCAATATGGCGGTAGAAACCTTGGAAAGGCCTATTTATATGATTTATAACAAAATGTACCATTAAATTAATGTTTTGAAAACCTGAAATTTGTTACAAAATGTGCTCTCAGAATGCTGCAAATGCCATTTCAGGGATCCAAATAATTTTCTAGGGGAGCATTCTCCCATACCCCTCTAGAAATCTCGTGACTTCGGCACTTGCCCCCCTCCCAATATTTCGCCCTGGCTGTTAAATTTCATGCCTGTCGAGCATTCATATCCATGACAAAACAATCCTCTGGAAATGATGCATTCCATTTTATGCCAGAGATTTACCAATTTTTGCAGACACTAAAGCTAATGTTGAACTCCAACACATGTGATGTTCTTAAAGCCATTTGTTAATAAAGGTCAAGAAACAAATTTCCGCCTACCAATTCCTTTATTAGTGTTCTCAAGCAAATGTGCAACAATTCCTATGAAATTAGGACAGAGCCAACGTTACATAATGTACAAATTCATGCCCTGCCTGGCCTGTCTTCTCCAACAGTTCCAATGAGTGTAAAATAAAGGTTGTCTTGTTAAAAATGGATGTATGTCGCCTTTGCCAACAGTAAAGCGCTATCGGTGAAGAACGTTAGTGAAGTAATCACCCTTTTAAAACAAAATAATTTAAAATTAGTAAGAAAACCATTGGTCACTAGTAGTCTTACTCTAGTTGTTGGCTGTTGAGTCTCCTGTTGTTATTGTAATTTGTAACAATGAGAGACATACTCTGTGCTTAGTTGGGTGGGTCAGGAATGTTAAAACGTATTATAACCAGTATCGAAAAGTGGATACCAGATTCTCATGCAGGAGGGCATACTAAAACTTTGAATCCTGGTGTTCCAGTGGGATACTAAAAATTTTTCAATTTCAGGCCCTGATTATACAAATATTTGACAAAGAAGAATGGTAATAATAAAAAATTTCTTATTTTTTCTGCAGGGATCGTCCTCGCAACACTGCAAGGATTGCCTGTCGAGTTTGTCTTGAAGATTTTCAAACATCAATAACATGTATCCTTTTAATTGTTTTAATATCAATTTATACTATCCCAGCATTGGAGAAATTTCTGACCATGTATCTAGATAGGAATAACATGGTAAGCAAGCGTGGCGCTGGACTGGACGCGCGATAGCGTGCACGCGCATGCAAACACATGTAAATATGTAAACAGTTATTCTGCGAACTCGAGTCGTATATGAGCTGATAGCCGACGAGGTGCGTATCTGTCATATACGACGAGAGTGAGTAGAATAACTGTTTATAGACAACTGCTGCATTTACACACTCTTCAGTATGGCAATATGTTGACAATTAGTTTGGCAATTTACACAACCTCGTAGCCTAAACCTGAGAAAACACTGCTGCTAGTTTTTTAAATCAGTACTTCGAACATGAAATTTTTTTTAGACAAAACAAGTGCTTGTCGACTTTACAGAAATTCTATAAAGAGTTTTCGCTTTTAAATCAGTTTTGTCAAAAAATTATATTCTGATTCTTGTTCATGTTTTTATCTTCGACTTCGCTCTTTCGAGTTTCGTTTTAAATACTTTATTGGATAGTGACCAAACGGTAGGAGTGCGAACGGGACTCGAGGTCCCATGCGAGGCACTCCTCCGATTAAAGATACAACAACAGACAATACATGTAGAATAAAATATACATAACTACAGTCATAAATAAACATATGCCACCAACTCGAAAATCAAAGCTAAGATTTATCATGCTTAAAAATTTCGTTTCGGTATTATTCGGTATTATTTTTTTCAACAAAATTTTTTTAACCAGTTTAAATATATAAAAATAGTATTGGCTAACATGGAAACAGTTGCTGGGAGTTTTTCAATGTGTTTTTGTTGCTGTTAAGCCTTAAGGCTATAAAAAGCGAATAACTTGCTGTTTTCTCGTTCGCAAATAGAAAGCCAATCAGATTGCAGAATAGCTTATATCCGGTAGCTGTCTATATAATAAATATATTTATTGAAAATAATTCAAGAGTTTTGATTGGCTAAGAGCTGTCGGTGAAATCGTCATATCCACTCGTTAGCTGCCTAAATTGAAATTTGGAGTTATGACATCACAGTGGAATATTGAAAACAAATATACCACGTTTGACGTAATTTCGTGGTATATTGAAAAACAAAGTACACGGCTTCGGCTGATAACACAAACCTCGGCCTTAATAATTAAAATGGCTCCCTAATTTGTGCAGTCATGTCACTCTATGGTCCCCACAACCAATATCTTTTTGCCTTTTTTTATCAGTCTTAAGTTCCAAGTACTGTTCATGATTCTTTAATGTTGAATCAGATCTCTCGGAACCAGTGGATGTATATAGTGATTGGATAGATGCTTGCGAGTCGGCTAACCAATAGCAATGGCTTAACTGATGAAGAGCGTTGTAAATAAATGTGGTGTAGATTGATCAATAAACTTCGCTTCAGCAAAGTTATTTAACAATATGTGGCATGTGCATAATGGAGCCTTGTGGAGTCTCTTCAGAGAACTTGTGGTTCTTTCAGGTCTTTCCACTGTTACTAAAGGCCAACAAATGGCAATATGAAACTGTCTTATGGAGAGGATAGATGAACAGCCAAATGTCGGTTATCCTCAAAGTGAAATATAAAGGCCCATCTACACTTATCCTGGCGTATGTAATCAAAATGTCACATTTAACAAATTATTCTTATAGAAAGGAATTGTGGCGTCAGCAGTCATTTTCATACGCCAGAATGACAATCTCAAGGCCCGTCTGCACGATTCGACCGGTAGTATACGATTCTTACCCTGGAGCCAGTTGCGCAAAGATGGATTAGCACTAACTCTCGGTTAAAATTTGACCTGCTAGCGCTGTTTTAGTTATGTATTTCTGCACATCTGTATATTTTAAAAGAAGAATACTCCTACTGATCCACACAAAGTTTCTAAACAAATATTTCCAAATTTATAAACAAGCTGTTGGGAAGTTTGCTTTGAATTTTAGGTTAACCTAGGGTAAAGCTAATCGGCTTTTGAACAACCGGCCCCTGGTGTATGTATTCGAATTAAATAATTAATGCGTGTAAAGATACCACATTTTCAAATTTTGCCATAAACTGATAAACATAGTGGTGTCAGCAATCGTTTTCATATGTCCGAATGACAATCGTATACGACTAGACGTATCGTTTAAATGAGCCTTTAAACATATGACTTTTATTTTTTTGGTCTGTTTTTGTAATTTGGTGCGAGGCAAGGTCAGGCAACGAATATCGCACTCGCTATGAGAATATCAGGTCCTTTCTCTTTCGCAGAGGTTTCGAATTTTTTCACTTGTGCATGCGCGCACAAACACACTCTTCAGCATCGCGTAAAAAAATACGCTTATAGATTCACGTATCGCTGTTTTTGAATGTTGATCCTGACCCTAATCCTCACCTGAAGTGTTGACCGTAATTCATAACAGCGAGACTCGCAAAATTCACGGAAACCTCTGCGGAGCAGAGAGAACTCTGGGTAGCAGACCCCACTGAAAAACACGTATGTGATGTGGGTATCCTGGATAAATGTTATTATTATTGTTATTATTATTATTATTATTACCAGCAGAGAGGTTCAGGTCTGTTAAACTTCTGTATGACTTGTGAAAAATATATTATGTCATGCAGAAAAATATATTATGGCCTTTGCCAAATGAATACATGTTTCTGCTACCAAACCATTTATATTTGAATTGAATTGAATTGATTTAATGATTACTGACTTTGTAACCCAAAAAGGTTAAATTACACCAGTATTACATAAATTAAGAGAAGTTAAAATTACATAATAATTACGTATTTAAGATTATTTACATTTCTAAAAACTTATTTACTGTTAATCTTTAATATACTTTGAGGTAAAAACGAATTCTTAAAACGTTCAGTTCTACAAACATAATTATGATATTTACATATCGGTCTTAGATCATATCCAGATAAAATTGTTTGTGGTAAAAGATCTTTGAGATTTTCATTGTCAATATTCTTCTCAAAGAAATGTTCGCATAATTTTTCTCGGCGATCTCTCAGCGACGTGATGTTAGTCGTGATCAGCGCTTCGTCATACTTTTGCGATGGAAGGATGATTCTCAACGCACGTTTTTGTATTTTTTCAATATCTTCACATAAATATTGTTGGATATTGTAATGCCAGACCTGGCACGCGTACTCCAAAACAGGTCTAATAATGGTAGTATATACAGTAATCAACGTGTCAATACACGCGTTGGACCTTTTTAGCAGCCTTGCATATAGAGCCTCTTGCTAGCTTTTTTAACTATGTTGTTTATATGTTCATTCCACTTCATGTTATCTTGAACTGTGAGGCCAAGGATACGGGCAGATTTCACTCGTTCAATATTAACTTCATCGACTGTTAAAGGGGGAAAGCAATGCTTCTTTTTTTGCAAAATCAATAACCAGTTCTTTGCATTTTCCAATGTTTAGCTTCATATTATTACTCGTAGTCCAATTATCGATGTAATTAACCAGTTCTTGAAGGTTGCTGTTACACTCTGGGCCAATGGTTTCAGTAGTGGTGGTGTCGTCAACGTATTTCCATCGGTCTTTCCAATCGGCGAGGAGATCATTTATCATGATTAGGAAGAGGATTGGGCCTAAAAGAGTTCCCTGGGGTACTCCACCGTTGAGGATTTGCCATTCTGACACGCAATGGGGCATTCTGACCCGTTGGCTTCGTCGAGTAAAGCCTGGTTCACATAAAATCGTTAAGCAGTCGCAGACAGTCGCAGACATGTGCCGAATTTTTATATGAACACAAATGCAGATTCGCACAGACTGTCTGAGACCGGATCGGCGACGGATCGGGAAAGTTGAACTTGGTTCGACTTTCCCGATCCGTCGCAGATCGTTCATATAAAAATTCGGCACATGTCTGCGACTGCTTAACGATTTTATGTGAACTAGGCTTACGAAAACTTATCCAGTTTGTTATTAATGATGGAACGTCCATATCAGATAATTTACTGAGGAGGATGTTATGATCAATATGATCAAAAGCTTTGGAGAAGTCCAATAAAAAAATTCTCACAGCGTTTTTCGGCACATCAGTTTCGTTTAATAAGTGATGGAGAAGGCTCAATAATGCATGTGCTGTTGAGGAGTTTTTTAGAGATCCAAATTGTCGTTTATCGATCTTCTCACCAATCAACTCCATCAGCCAGTTTGCGACAAAACGTTCACACGTTTTGACAAAGTAGCACGGCTTTTTTCCATACCGCGGAAACAGACGCCTGTTGAAGGGAGGCGTTGAAGATTGAAGTAACAGGGGGAGCCAGCAGGGGTGCATAATCTTTTAGAACCCAATTCGGTATTTCATCTGGGCCAGCCGCTTTCGAAGATGATATTGAAGATAATTTGTAATAAATGTCTTCTCCCTAATAATGTACTCGGTTGGAATAGTAGTATAATCGCTTTGTAATTGGGTATCGGGGAAAGGGATAGGACTAAGGGGAGGACTATCTCGAGTAACGGATACGAAAGCCTCGTTAATTTTTTCAGCAAGTTGCTTTTCAAAGACGACTTGCTCTCCTAGGACAAGACTTGAATGTGATCAACAAGAGTAGAGGAGCAAACGTCTTGAGAAAAAAAAGAGGTTGATTTAATATCACAACGAAATGCAACACAATTATGGAAATAATTTTTTTCGAAACGACGGATGCGTTGATCAGTTTTGTTTAAATTAAGGAAGCCAATTCTAAACATTTTCCCTTTTTTGCTTCAGTTGGTATATTTACCGGACATAATGCCGCTCAAGTCACAACCATGAACAGAATATTCATTGTCCTCATTATTAGAAAATCTCCCTGTTCTCCATGCCATCTATAGTCACTCTTCGATTATGCAAGGAGCCTATTTCGTCTGCAGGTATTAACATGCCATTCGCTGCATGCAGGTGCTTACTCGCTTTGTTTATAAATATTGCACCTGTTTTGCTATAGAAACTGCTTTTGTTAGTGACACTCCGGAATCTGATACATACTCGAAAATTGTAATCAAAAGATTTTTAAATCGTTTCATATCATCCTGTGTCACTATGCCTCACACGTCCCGAGCAGATGACGCACTAAAGAGAAAATCTCAAAAAGCTCTACAATCGGGTGCTGTTGAATGTCCTGTCGAAACATTACGTTTGCAGTGTTTGTCAAGAGGCTCTGCTGGAATTATGGGTTTAGGACGGTAAGCTGATTTGAATGCATCGTTAAGTTTTGGAGATTTCTAAAGAAACATCTCATTTCGCTATCTGAATGTTCTCTTATGCATATCCCCTCGCCGTGAAGCGCTGCTTTGCACTGAGTCTGAGAATGAATGAAAACTCTTTAAAGTTAATGAAGACTCGATGATGTTTACATTTCAATTTCAAGCTATTTAGCATATAGTTATAACAAATTGAAGCTCTTCATTTTTGGGTTCATTTGCAGTTTTGCGGCGCTTGCACGTTTTACGTCATGTGACCCGTGATGCGACAAGCAACTGAAGCCCCGCTTGCATACGACGTCTACGCTCAATTTTTGGTACGGCACGGATAAAATTAGTAAAAAATCGAGCGTAGTGTAAACGGGGCTTGAGTTGACTGGCAGTAATACACAGTACGGAAACAGTTTTTCGTCCTATGATTAAATGCATGCCCAAATATACTGATTCAAATTTTCGAGGGTGCAATTTTAGAAGGTGTACCGGTACTTCGAATGATGTATGGATGCTATAAACGTATAATATATTTATGAGGAGTAAAATTGAGGAACCACAGCGAACTAGGAGATAATTGTACACGATTATTACGAGGAAAATGTAAACAAGTGGAGTTCAAATTAGAGATGTGCTATTCCGATCAGATTCGTTCGGATTTCGGCGCCATAATATCGAGGTTCAGTCGTTCAGATTTGAGTTCCACCACCGTTACCACTACCTCTAACTGGCTTAGTACGCATCTGATTGGTTAATCGAATATATCAAAACATCTGATTGGTTGATGGTCCCTTATGGTAGCAGAAGTCAAATCCACAAATCTGAACCTCTATAGACTGTACTATTCACATCGGATCGAATTTCGTTGTCGGATCGGATCCAACTTCGATTACCAGGGCTGCTGTGAAAACTAAAGGCTTACGGGAGTTACGGCGCTTCCGTTTACAGTTGATTTCACGAAACTTTGGCCACGCCAATTGCGAGGTTGGTTGGGAATTTGGGAACTATAAACATGAGATCATCAAGTTGATTGGAAACCGGCCAATCAAATTCGGAAGTTTCGCATCAAATTATCGAAATTCGTGATGAAATTCCGAACCAAGTTCGCAAATTGCAAACGATTTTGGCGGTAAATTTTAAAAACTAAACTTATTGTATTAAACTTATAATTTTAAAAATTATTATTATTATATTATTATTTATTATTAAATGAATAAGTTTAATACAATAAGTTTAGTTTTTAAAATTTACCGCCAACATCGTTTGCAATTTGCGAACTTGCATGCTTGCGAACTTGGTTCGGAATTTCATCACGAATTTCGATAATTTGATGCGAAACTTCCGAATTTAAGGGACCGGTCATTATTTATGGCGGGGGGTGGCACCGAAGAGAAATGTTTTCCGTGTCAAAAATTTTGCTGACCCAACCATTAAAAAGACAAAAATTTGATTACCCAACCTCAAATATCAATTAAAAA